AAGACAAATAAATGATGCGGTAGTGAACTACTTTCGTCATTAACATCGGCAAATCTATATGTTCTGCAAATTACATGCCCAGATTACATTGTTGACTGATCATCAACCTAATTCGTTCAAACTTACTGGCCAACCGACCATCTTAAATAGTATGTGAGATTTAGGTTCTGTGGATGGCGTTCAACAAGAGATTTTTCCGCAGTCTTGTTTTTCTGCTTGCGTTAACACAACAGTCATGATTCTCTGTAGCACGTTTCAGGTGGCAATTACTAAACGGTCACACTTGACAGAAGCAGTCATCAGAACTTGATTCAAGTCACCGAACTGAAAACTGGGCCTTGTTTTAGGCTATTACATAGAGGTTACCTTGGTTAAACTTCAACGTAAAGGTTTAGACAAAAAAGGCGGATCAAAAAGTGATTACACAAGTACTGAATGATAGATAGAATATCAAAACTAAATGTTGAAATGAGAATTTTCACTATCAAAAATAGCGACAAAAGTTTAGGAAAGAACCGTTATGCAATCAAATAAGACAAATTAAGTGGATTTTCAAAACATTTATTTTGCTGCACATATTACCACAAAGTTTGAAACAAACACTTGATTGATCGAGAACTTATTTTGTATTGAACTGTGAAGATTATTCTAAAAGACTTTAGCGCTCGTTACTTTAAAGACCAACAGGTTATGTCCTTGGACTTTTACACGTGTCAAGATGTTACAAACACTCAGAGCTTGAAAGTGCTGTTGTGCGTAACCCATTTATTATCGAGGCTCCATAACTCAGTCAGACCGGAAGCCAGGAAACAAAGGCTTAGAAGATATATTAGGAAGATGGTTTATACATAGGGAAGTATTTACCACTTCGAAAGATTCTATTTGCTGGTGACACTAAGATATCACACATTATGTGTGTCACAAAATATTTCATCGAATCCAAAGACGCGGAGTCGGTTTTACACCAGAGGAATATAGTGATAAATTATAGGAAATGTGTGATGATTTATACCTTGCCTTTAATAAACTGAAGCTGAGTTATATGTATTCAAGCTAATGTAACCTACACATTAGCATGGAAATCAAGGACGCACGACTCCATTAACGACATGGCAATTGTAAACTATGTTTACTTCACTAAGTAAACTTGGCATCGAGTAAGGGTTTTTTTGACTGTATTCATCAAAACCATTATTTGACAAGAAATTAAAATAGCTCAAAAATAAGGGTCCAGAAAGAAGGGAATGTTTTATGTCAGTTCGTGCTGTTGTCCTTTGCAGACTTCTGACAAATCACCCGTAGATGTAATTAAATCCCCAATGTAAATAGTTGTGTGAGTACTCAACATTTAATACTGGACTCACTAATTTTAATTAACCCACCTAATTGAAGGCGCTCAGTCGCGCATATGCACCAGAACGTGAGTAAGTACGTCGTACTTCACATCTCCTACGACTGCTAGCCAGCTTAGATTGATCACTTCTCGATATATCTGTAATCTATCAAATATATCTTGAAACATTTCTGACTTTTGATTTGACTAGGTTGGTATATTTCGATTATAGAGGGTGTTGCTGGTTAAGACACTGTCAAACTAAAAATACTGGTGGTCTCCTTACACATATATCTTGTAGTATTCATTAAAACTAACGACATTCAGTGTGCACAAGATAACTTACTTCTGTGGGTTACTCACCGTTACATTTTCCCGAGGACTTAGAAGTACATTTTATTCTATGGCTTCGATAAATCATTGATAAAGAGACTATGACTTTGTCAAATTTGTCACATGGAATTGACAAATCCATATGGTGCAATGTATAGTGTAGTGTGAATTCGAACTTATAAGTTGATATAAAAATGTGGGTCATCTAGATTAATAAATCCAGTTGCACAGTATGTCAAACAGAACATGAGCAGTTACAATCCAAGCAAAATGATGTAATATTACTTTTTATGGGTTTTAAACTGTCTTGAATGTCGTTCATAGTGGACAGGGCCTACCACCTCGGCAAACCTCATATAGGTGGGCTACCTGTCCATTCACATAAGGTTCATACAGAAAAACAGGACGAAGCTCACGCGTTCCAAATTGAAAGCATAAACTGCTTATATATGAACGCCGCGAGTCTACCAAACAAATTAGATGAACTACGTGAACTTAGCAACGCTAATAAGGCCCATCTGATAGGAATATCTGAAACCTGGATATCTTCTCAGTTCTCGGACCAAGAGTTAGCATTATCTGGGATGACTTTGTTCCGCAACGACAGAAAAATAGGAATTGGGGGCGGAGTAGCCATATACATAAGCTCTTGCTTGGAGGTGCACCAGGTTCACAACTTCGAGTTTAACAATCTTGAGGAATCCATATGGTGCTCTGTAAGATTATCTAGTACTTCCAGGTGTCTAGTCGGAGTCATTTACAGGAAGCCAAGTGCCGACACCGAGTACGATAGTTGTATGCTGGAAGGACTATCCCGCTCTACTCGTCTCGGTTTCACACACATCCTGATTCTAGGGGACTTTAATCTCCCTAGAGTGAACTTCGCGGAACACACGTACACTGGAGGCGACAACTCAACTGAAGCTCGGTTCTTCAACCTCATCGATAACTTGGGCTTATATGAAAATGTGAGGTCGGCAACTCGTTGGAGAAACAGTCAGACACCATCGCGCTTAGACTGTGTATTCACTAACGAAGAATTCCTAGTCGACAACCTCTCAATCCTGGCTCCTCTGGGAAAGAGCGATCATGCCGTCATAGCCTTCAGTTTTGTCATCAAAACTAAGCTAAGGTATCCCAACAATAATTTGCGTTGGAATTTTAAACGGCTGAATGTGCCAGCTCTACATGACTATCTAAAACAGGTGGTTTGGGATGTCATTGAGACTTCTTACTGCACACGCTCTTATGTGCTACAGACCATTCAGTTCCTCAAACGGTTACAAAAGCTGCAAGCCACCTACAGTAATCAAGAACCGTACCCTTCGCCTGCTAAGCCGCAAAAGACACTGTTGGGCGGAATACAAACGAACTAATAACGATGGAGCGTATAGGCAATATAAACATATCAGGAACATATGCACGAAGGCTTTAAGAGAAGACAGGCTTCAGTACCAAACAAAGCCTATGGACAAATTCGCCTCTAACCCTAGAAGCCTATTCCGTTACACAGCCTCTCTTCGTCAAGCCAAAACAGGAGTTTCTCAACTGCTAGGTCTTAACGGCCCGACCAACAATGATGGCGACGCCACTAACCTTCTGGCGGCACATTACTCTCAAACATTTCAACCGGCTGACATCAACTTTATTGACGACAGTTTCATCTGCAATTCCACAGGACTTTCTGAAGTGGACCTAAGCGCTGACTTGGTGTTCCGGAAACTGCAGCACTTAAGACTTGACACTTCTCCTGGCCCGGATATGGTTCATCCTGCCATACTGAGGGAGGCAGCCTCAATCCTGGCAATGCCGCTTAGCGTGATGCTTTCACAGTCGCTAAGCCGAGGCAAATCACCGGAAAATTGGAAGTTGGCTCACATCACACCAATTTTCAAAGGTGGTCGACGCAATGAACCTTCAAGTTATCGGCCGGTGGCTCTTCTGTCATTACCTTCAAAACTCATGGAGTCCCTGATATGCGACGGTTTAAACGACTACCTACTGTCCTTAAATTTCTTCTCACCCCAACAGCATGGTTTCAGGAAGGGTTACTCTTGTATAACCAACCTGCTGACTGCGGTGGACAGATGGACAAGCATCCTCGATCGCAAGGGAAAGGTTGATGTCATTTACCTTGATTTCTCAAAAGCTTTTGATAAGGTTAACCACTTGTGTCTTATCAACAAGCTCAAACGACTAGGTATCAAACCACCTCTAATCGACTGGCTTACTTCATACCTAAAAAATCGACACTTTAAGGTTAGGGCTAATTTCACTTTATCTCAGGCTATAGAATGTCCTAGTGGGGTCCCCCAGGGCTCAGTACTAGGGCCTCTTCTCTTCTTGATCTACATAAATGATCTTCCTCAACAGGTAACGTCAGACTTATTACTTTTTGCCGACGACGTGAAACTTTGGAGAGAGATACGCAACCAAGACGATACACAGGCACTTCAGGAGGACCTGACGCGACTTCAAGGTTGGGCAGACGATAACGGACTTACCTTTAACACTTCAAAGTGTAAAGTAGTCCATCTGCGACATGTCGCAAACTACAGTTACAACTTAGGAAACTCCTTTCTAGTAGTATCCCAAGTCGAAAAAGATTTAGGAGTCCTGGTGCCCCATGGCTTAAAGTCTTACGCTAACTGTGACAAAAATGTCTTCCGAGCAAACCTTGCACTGGTAACGTTGAGGCGCATTTTTGGCCAGTTTGACGGAAGAACTTTCCACACAATCTTCAATAGTTTCATCCGTCCCCATTTAGAGTACGGAAACATAGTACTCCCCCCCTCACTCCAAAAGGACAAGGTCACTTTGGAGCGTATCCAACGGTGAGCCACGAAATCAGTTCGAGGACTCAAATCTAAGCCTTACGAAGAACGCCTCCGTTCACTAGACCTTTACCCACTGGAATATAGGCGTCTTAGAGGTGATTTATTAATGGCTTATAGTATTCTTAACACTTCTGGACATCCTCTTAAACACCTACTTAAGCTTAGTTCGAATAATAACCTAAGGGGTAACATCCAGAAACTGGAAACACAACATAGCAAGATGGAATGTAGACACAACTTCTACTCCTTAAGAGTTGTCAAAAGCTGGAATTCGCTGCCGGCCGAGCTAGTCCAAGCGACTTCTCAGGAGTCCTTCAAGAGGCAACTTGACCTATTCTTAAGAACCAAGGACAGCATCACACTATGATTTACCAATTTCTTTTCCTCTTTTATTGTTAACATACCTAGGTTCCTGCCTGGAGGATTTCGTTATCCCCTGCTACTATACACGGAAGCCTGTTAAGCGAAAGCTTCTTCTATTCCGTCCACAACCATTTGAACCATCTGAACATAGAATAGCGCGGCTTTAAAACGTGTCGTATCTAGCTCATTTGAAATACGCACTGGTTCCAGCGATCAGGTTGTCTAAGCCTCACGCTTATAAATTTGCAAATTGCTCTTGATTTCTCTCATCATTGAATGTAAGCGCATTTTCAGTCTTTGGCTCACTTTATTTCGTTGTTTTCTCTTCCAAATTTTCTCACTGTAATATAGTAAAAGTACCTTCGTGCCAGAGGTGAATATACTGGAGGCTTGAAGTCGCACGTATTTTGGTCACATGTTGAAGCAGAAAGAAGATGTACTTCTCATGGTTAAGCATGTACGGTATAAGAAAGTAGATGGGACCCTGTATGTTAACTCAGGAAGAGTGGCTTGGCGTAACCAAACATCTGATAGTTTTCGCATCAGTGCGAAATTTGAAGATATTAGAATACAGCGTATTAGTCCGGACCAAAAGGAAAAAGTCCAGCTCCAGTTATTAATGCATAGTGGGGAGTCTTTCACTTTCCAGTTTTCGGATCCTGGAGGCAGGGAGAAGCAACTTGAAATGCGTAACAACGTGAAAGCAATGCTACAAAACTTGCTACCCAAATTTAAAGACAAGGTTCGTTTGGTTTCCGTCGTGTGTCTTTTTTCTAGGTCCTGGTACAATAATTAGTAGCTTCAATAACCATGATTCCTCAATTCCTCATTACATGTTACTTGGTTTACTATAGATCCGACAGTAGTTCAGATATAGATTTCACCCTTTTAAACATTGTGAAAACCAGTCTCACTTCTACGGAAGTTATTGTGTCAGTATTTATCCTTGTTAAAGACTATGAAAGACAAAGTTCTATAATTGAGTCGTGGGAATCTTTGCTGTCAGTTTATGATTCGTTGTAGAATACGTTGTCAGCACTAGAATAGTTCTATCTAATGTGAAGTTCATTTAAAGTCTGGAAGTCAAGGACTTCAAATGGTATAGTTCACCATAGTACAATTGGAGTTTGTCAAAGAAAGGATTCACCAAATATATCTTAGTTGTTTGCTTTGGGTTTGAAATGTGTGGACAGAATATAGTTGGTTAAGGGATCGATTACCTTTGTAGTAATTCTTTTGTTTCTAGCATAAACTGATTAGCAGGTATCAGCTAACTCGTCAATTCGGCCTAAAGTTGCTAGATTTTTTATTTCCCGCTGTCAGCATTAATATTAATATCTGAAAGAACTCATTTAATCTTAACTGCTACTCACCAATCATGGTTTAAAAAAACACAACAGCTAATAAATAACCTGATTACAAATTACTGATTGTTTGTTAGGCTAATAAAGGTCCCTTGCAACACATGTGAACCACCACTTATATCAAATTATCAACTACTCATCTCATAAGAAACACCCACCAAGTGTATGCTGCAAACTCCACCAGTAGTCTACAATTTCACACGGTGATTCTGTTTTCTAGGACATATTGTGGTTTATCTAATTTCCAGGATCAGTGTCTGTATGTGCTGAGCATATCTTGTCTAATTGATCTGATAGTAAGTCTATAACAACTTGCTTGACTATTTTGCTGAAATCTATACTGAACTTCGGAATTCTTCAAAAGTCCTAATGCTTATAAACATGAGTCTAAACATTTGAAGAATGTTTTCCACCTAACTCCACTGGCCGTTTGATATACGTACAGTAGTATAGAACAATTCACTCCTGAGACCGGCTGATTTGTCCATATATGTGTTGGTTCTTTTTAAAACAGATTGTTAGGGTTTGCTGTGCAACGCGTCGCTTTAGAAGTTTTTTAATGAGAAGTTGGAGAAATACTAACAATAATTTTCGCATGGTGAACTGGACCGGGAATCTTTAGAGTTCTGCGTGAAAGCGACTCTGGTCGACATCCCTACGTGTAAGTTGATTGGTGCCCCCGATCATCAGTAAATTTTACTTGTTGACTATACAACATCCGGTAATCCTGTTGCACAACATACATGATTAACTGCTTAACTGAAAACAAACCATGCAACAGTAATGTTACAGAGTTATCGTAATTCGAATTAACGTTATCCTCCTGTCTAGATACACTGATTCTGCATCTGGTTTTAAGGCATTTTGTTGTTAGTTCCATTGCATATCCGCGAACAAAACTTCAAGATTATTTTAAGTTAATTCGTCATAAGCTTCGTTCAAGATGATGGCTAGTTTCCTCTGGTTCAAATTGTTTCTAAGGGTTCAGTGGATCAAATCATTTCACGTCTTGAAATAAAACTGACGGATCACTATGCCATTTAAGTAGGATATTGGTTTGGTTTTCCGCAGTCTGGTCGAATAGTCTAGGTAATTCGTTTTCAAGTAGTTAACTGTTTTGGAGTCCTCTTCGCTTCTTTGAGCTTCCATCACCGGGTGAAACATGAAATCCGGCACATATGGTTAACAAAAGTATATAAATTATGGCACCAAGAATACATCAAATAGAATAATCGTGTGAACGAATGGAGACAAAAGTATCCTGTATCGTGGACAAAAGTTGTGAATAATACTTTCCACTTATGAATATACAATAATAAAATTTCATTTCTCCTAAAGAATGTCGTATAGAACAGCAATAAACCCACTATACTATTTCCACTAACTTCTGATTTAAAGCGTGTGATTAAAATTCAAACCAAACTAGATGATATGGAGCATTTCATCTAGTCATTCGTATTGCTCCAACTCATACTAACTCAATCACCTCCCACTAACACATGAATTCAACTAGTCATAGGTATCTTGGACAGTAAACAGCTGTGGTTGTTGTTACGCCTAATGGGTAACTCGGTCAAGGTTTGAAAACTGAAAATCTTGTTTCTCTGGGTTTCACTTTAAACCAGTTGTCTCCAAAAAAAGAAAGAATAAAGGAACTACTATTGTGACAGAGCTAGTAAAAGTGGTGGTTGATCGTTTGATGAACTTAATTTTTATCCTTAAATGATACTGTTTTGGCTGTTTTTCAAATGTAAATAGTGGTTTTTATTTGGTATTATGTTTCCATACACAATCACTCGATAGATGATTATATCTTGAAATCTCGATAGGAATGTTAATTTTCTCACACCACATACATTATCAGTTCGACAGTATCAGCTACAAATTTATTAATTCAACACTTACAACAGGACACCAAAAAAGTATGTGGCATACAAGTGGGAAAATGGTGTTGTGAAAAGGTTTTTCTATGGACAAAAGATCCGCACAACCCCCATGTTTTCTTCTCATAGCTGTTTCTAGTATGTCATTTATGGCAGTTGGAGAAAAGTGGTGAAAAGTGAATTCAGTCAGTTGACCCGTCATAATCATTTACATATTGACCACTTACATTTTACTGTAACTCGAAATATGAAGATGATGATTCAAGTCTTAAAGCATGAAAATTCGTATCCATCTTTTTTTATCCCTTATCATTTTTTACCATTGCAATGTCATTCTTATAGTCTACTGTCAGTGTGATGCTGCTGTTACCAGTGATCAAGGGTCAGTGATTACGATTCTTAACTTCTGGAAGTCCTTTAATCATTTAGACACTCAAGCTTTGACTATTCGATCGGTACGTATGATTAGTAAGTATCGATCCGAAAGGGTTCTAGATAATATGCAACAACTAAAATGGTTGTTTCGTATGTTGTCCATTTAAACTAATGCACTATTATGGCTTGCGATGCCTCTTAGAACTGAAGTTGTTTGACCAGAGCACTTCATAAAACAAGTCTGTTAACACATCAGCTTTTAGTCTAAGTGCCGACTTAAGTTTTGAAGTTAAATGACACGATCACCGATCTAGTAGGAATTAGTGACCTTAATTGACATGGTTCAGAATATTGGTTCACCACGGTGTATCAATTCGTTCCTTGTGTTCAAAATCGTATCTTATTTCTTGTCATTTATCTTCCCTCCGTGACATGTGTCGTTCTTAATGTAAATATTTTTTCTGTTTATGTTCCATTACTCTCTGTGTGTTGTTTTTGAAGTGTTTTCAATTGAGTAGTTTGGCGTGTGGTGTTTTATTATTTTATCTATTCGTTTATTACACTGACAACTCTAGTTTTTATAGACTCAGTATCACTCGTCGAATATCCAAAGGCCATCCTTTGCAATCCAACTCTATTTTCAACAGATTTTATTCAGTTTTCTCATTCAAATAACTCATTTCAGTGTGTTTTATTAGTTATTACCAAGTTGTTTACGTCTTAAACATGCTTTTAAACCGAATACTTACATAGTTTCTTGTTTTCTAGGCTCAAGCCGAATTAAAGGAAAAATTTCGACTCCTCGAATCAAACCCTGAGATTTTGGCCTTATACAAAGAATTAGTTGTTAGTGGTATACTTAGCTCGGAAGAGTTTTGGGCTCGACCAGAATTTTCTCATAATAACTTTAATTCATCCCAGTGTCTGAATAATTCCACAGCTAATAACAAAGCTTCTGGAACTACTGGGACATCAGAAGCAACTCCTAACAATGCAAATATGTTATCTCATAATAATCCGTCAAATGGTCCTACTAGTCAGATTTCACGAAGTTTCCAGTTAGACGACCGGCCTCAAGTTATTGGAGTCCCCAGTTGTCTTTTGAGCGATATCAAGCCTGAAGCAGATGGTGCCAATGGAATAAAATACAACCTTACTCACGAAACAATCAATGCAATATTCCGAGCCTACCCTACTGTACGTGATAAACATCGAGAAATGGTCCCTGATAAATTATCTGAAGCTGACTTCTGGATAAAGTTTTTTCAGTCTCATTATTTCCACCGGTAAGTTTTTGTTCTTGTTAAACTTATACTTAACTCTTTAAATGTCAAGTCAGCAGTAATGAATTATTTCTTTCGTTTAATGATTTATTTACTGAAAGGCCAATAAAACCAATAAGGTGTATTGTGTAACACGAGTTGTATTTATTAAATTCGATTGATACATTTAAAAACAGTCAGCTGTCATCCAGTTTAAAAACTTCTAGGACGTTAGTAACTTTATGTGATCTAAAGACGTTCTATAAAGTAGCTGAACAAGTTTCATGCATGTGGAAAACTAGTATCCATTTCAGCAACTATTTCAGTTAGTACGACAAACTTCGCCTTCCTGAAAATAGTCAGATTTATCCATGCAATAAATGTGTTTATTTGTCAATGTTTTAACGAGATTTCGCTATGCCTCTCGTCATACTCAAACATAAATCAAAAGGATATTTCAAGTTGCTACTTTCATTAGCATCACACGAAATGACATAACATAAAAAAACGTTACATGTATCTGGAATAGTACAGCTAACGCATAAGAATGATCTGAGAGGCCATAGCTGAGTATGGTTACTGCCATTGGTTCGTTTGAAACACCGTTAAGGTGAGATGGAAATTTCATTTTTACCACCTCATTTAATAATTCATCGTATTATCTTCCACAACTTAAGAGTAGAATAGAAACCTATTAATATAATACACCCATCGCTGTCTCGCCCAGGGTTTTAGTGCACTGTAAACAGTTGGAGTGTGATTGCAGATGACCGAAACTGCCACACAGTATTTTTCGATGTTAACGTCAGTTGTTGCGAGATATTTATCAGCCGTGTTTTCTTTAGTCATATTCTCATTGATCATTGTGTTTTACTAACCACTTGCTTTAGTAAACCGAAATAAATGTCACAGATAATGTGACATTGATGGTCGATTGTCTTCTTGGTCTCTGTTTTTACGGCAAACTGATTACTTCAGTAAAGAAAATACAAATAAAACAGCTATTGGAGTTCTTTTTCGAAGACACCCTACTTTCGGCACATCAGTGTTCAAGCATTAACACGGCGTTATTCTTAATATTAATAGGATGTGAATGACCTGTGGCAAATTTGAGGTGTTTATGTTTTTACTGCTCTTTGATCAACATTCCTGATGGAAAAATGTAAAACAAATCTCACTCAACATAGTTCAACCGGGATACCATTGAAAAAGCTAACCTAACAACCTTAGTTATTTATCTTTCTAGATCATCCAACATTTGACTTTCGACTTCTGTAAACCATGGCTCTCAAATTATCTGTTCTTTATGACCATCATTGTAACGGCGTTCATAATATCAGTTAACAAGTTGTATTAATGATCGATCGGTAATATTTTACTAGTACAATCATTGTCATTTGGAATTTATGCTATTTCTAGTGCTTTTTCTGTGGTTGTGGGATAGTTCGTTCGCTTCCCATTTTACGAACGTAGCTCATTTGATGAGGCTCACTCACTAATTTTCACTTTGAAAATGCTTAAGTGTTCTGAAACCGTCTCTGATTCGTTTCATCTTTATGAGCAGTCAAGTTGTAGAATATGACTACAGTTTTTCATTTTGTCACTTTTGTTACTATTATAAATGTAGGTGCTAATAAATACTTCTATTTATTTAGTGACCGTGTTCACCTTCCGAAAAATGATATATTTGCTGATTGCGCTGGTATTGATGATAAACTTTTACTCAGTGATATACGGAAATCAAGAGTCAACCGAAATAATGTCCATCTTGATTTACCTAATCTTACCGATTACGATATAGGACAAGGTTATGGAATCGATCAAATATCTGGTCCGACAAAAATAAAGTCAGCTGACTCAGTCTCGCATCAGAGTGTAGAGAATACATTGAACGAACCTGCAATCCCGAGCAATTTATCAGCAAATCAGTTGTTACTTCGTCGTTTCAACAATCATTCGATACTCGTTTTGAAATCTCTTAGTTCAAATGACGCATCTTCATCAACCAATAATGCATCTCAAAATCCGAAAGATGTGCTTAACTCTTGTCCTTTAAAAGACCGCGTGTACGTTAAAGAGCTGGTAGAAGATCAAAATCCTACAGAAATCCAGTTAGACCTAACTTGTGTAACTGACTATCTGGAGGGTCCTACCCCTAGCATAGTTGGTAAAGCTACAAAGTTAATGGATCCATTATCAGTTACCCGGCAAACAGATACTTCGTTTTATGGATTACAACTAGAGCAGTCAGTAAAGAAATGTAAGAATTTGATGGTAGCTGCTTATCACATGGGGAAAAAGCCGGGCGTATCACTTTTAACTGCACTTGAATCTCAACAAGCACTAGCAGATGTCTCACCTGGTGGTTGTCTCATCGGCGGTAAACTTAATAGTGAACGCACGAAACCATGTGACTTAACTAGTGATCAATCATCCTTACGTTTGTTCGAACCAGGGAGAAACAGTCGTATTTCGAACTCTCCGAAAGTCTCTGATGAACACCATGCTGGTGACGATGTCGATCGTGGCCCGCCACTACTCACACCAGAACAGGTTAAAGATTTGTCACTTTTATATTCTAGTGCCGCTGAACTCTTAAGACACTTCTGGGCATGTTTCCCTGTAACAACCCCACAACTAGCTGATAAGTTAGATCGTGTTGCTGCTAGTCTCGTTCGTTTTCGTACAACCAAGGTAACCCACTTCGCCGCTGGTGTTGATCCATCGTTGAGGACTAAGTCAGACACATATTCTTCTGATTCATCTGAGCATCTACCTAACACAGGAAATCCTGGGCCTATTTCTTACCGTTCAAGTGTGACTAGTCACCTGGAATCGATGCTGGACTCCGCTCAAAAGAAGTATTCTGAATGGAAAACTCGGCATACGTAATAATGTAGATATCTGTACAGATCAAATTTTTTAAGCATTTTGTTTGAAATTTTCTGTCTCCATTCCTGGTAATTCACTACTCTAAATAATTAGTTTCGTGACATCATGCTAAACTGTATATATTTACTGTTCGGATATTATTTGAAAAATTAATTGACAGATTTTTCGTAACGACTTTTAGATTCCTTTGTTTTTTGGAGGTTCTTTTTATTAACTCTGGTAATGTGAATGGCGAAAATAAGTTAAGGATAAAGTGATCCCATCAAAACAAAAGAGTAAATTTTGAGATGGAATCACTTCAGTTAAGTATCTTCATATTAAAGTGAGAAATAATACCAAACTCTTATTGTTTCAGAGATTCGCAAATTATGTTGGGTAAGAGTTTTTAATGTTGTTAAGTGTACTATAATATCTTTAGTTTATTAAATCAAATATGAATAAAATATTGTTTAAATATCAAGGAGATTTTGCACCTTGTAGGTGTTACGAGAAATAACCGATTGTCAAATTTTCTCCTTCAGACGCTTATTTTATTAGCGCTAACAAACAGGGTTATCATACTTAGGCCTTAGGGTATAAATATTCAGTGTTGAATATCAAGATAAGGTCAAGCATCGATCTAATTTTAATCCATTCATACATAAGGAAATATGGTGTTCACATCTACAGATAGCTCAGACCATGGAGGGTTGTTTCTTATTATTATCAAGACATTTCGTAGTGAATAAGATATCTAATTATCTTTCTGGTCTGTATCTACAGTTTTTAAACAAGTCTGGATCACAATGTGGCACATTTGAAAGTGTGAAGAATAATAGTAATCACTGAAAATGCCCAGTTAGGTAAAGCGGATACTTAAACTTGTTTTTACTTGCATTCTATGTTGCATACCAAATGAGATGTAAAGACAATGTCAGATGGTAGGGCTTATCTTTAACAATAAAACGCTTCTGATCAACTGGTTATCAATACGTTTTCCACGATATTTTACTTCGTACGTATAATTTTCTCATCATTTCATTGAAAAGTTATTCGATATTAAATAAATTTAAAAATATTAAGCCACTGAAAATTGTTCAGTAAATTGAGATTTTGGTTTTTTGTATGATCCCAGCAAATTTTACAGCGCGTTTCAAATGTAAAAACGAACAAAAAATCCTGACCAAAGTCGACTCCCCCTTTCCGGTTGCAAGAGTTGTTAATTGTTCTTAGTTTATCTGTTACTTAAGCGGACATGTCTCAGTTGTGGAGAAATAGAAATTAGACTGTTAGTTGCATTACTCATACTTCAATAGGGTTACCAGACAACTTATGAGTAAACCAGATACTGTGAATTGTTGAAAAATAACCATGTCTAGAGGGATTTCTCATCCTACCAACCACTCGGTTTAAAAAAACTGGAAATGAGTAAACTAATATACGCTAACTTAAATTCTGATCATGAAAATACGTCTTAAAGCACTAGTGTTTTAGAATGTCTTGCATTCGACAAGCACAGCACGCTTCTGAATGTTCTAAATCCTGTTATCGTCATCAGCAACGTCCTTTTGTTAGTCATTTAGCGAGTCCTTATAGAGAATTTAGAGATGTTAAAGTCTTTGAGTTTGGAATAGTAGCCTGGTTCCAAAAGTTTTCTCAGTCAGTTAATTATTACAAAACCAAATCCCAATTCTAGTGAATCAAGTTATTATAGGTTTTGTTTCACATAGATTAGCCTCGTTGTCCACAAGAATACAAAATATCAAGATGCAAGTCTTTCTTATGTAGTTTGCCACTTTTAACGGTCTTGGTAATGTGGGATCGGGTTGATCTGGAATATTAGAATAATACTTATCAGATTGTGATTTAAGTATCTTCTACTTCATCCTTTCGTAGAACACTGTGCTTGATCACATTAAATGGCTTCGGTTGTACACGTCCCCAAATATTATCGTCAAACAAGACAACCAGTGAAGCTATCAACTGTATTCGATTTTGCTAGTTTTGGAATCAAGTCGTCTTATGAATGAGGTCAAAGCTCCCAACTACAGACTTGTAGATTAAAGTAAACTGCCGTTCTAAGAATCGGGATAATTTTACTGAGACAATATCACCCTTTAGTTCGGTACGTGAATGCTATATTATCCAATTAGTCTCAAGAGTGAATGTCCTCCACTCATCGACATATTTATAGTTAAATTATTGGTTGTTTTGACATCTTACCAGCAATCGCTTTGCATTCGTGAAGAGATAATAGTTCTTCACGTTAAAGTTATTTCTTATATTATTGTTAAATTATATTCCACGTTTAACCTTTTCACTGTTAATTCAGAATACGGGTTTTTTACTGTCGACCGATCGTGTTATAGCGAATTGCTATTCACTTAATTGCAACCTTTGTGTTATGGATTCTCTCATTACGACCTAGCTACCCTTATTGCTTAGTATTCTTAGACATAGCTCACTCTACAAGGTCCCAGATCAGATCACGGTTAGACAAGAGCGTAAATATATCACAAATGATAAGTTTGGATGGAAGCAGTAATCACAATTAGTATATTTATAATCTTGACATAAGGTGCTAGTCTTCTACAAGCATATTCTAGTGCTGATTTGTTAAGAAATAGCCATTCGGCGAGCCCCAACAGTCCTACACGGAACGTGCATTAATCCCGCTAACAGGTCTGAGCGAGTTCTTTGGATCTGCGACCGCACGATTGCTCTGTACTTTCAATTTGCCCACTCTTCGCTTTCACAGAAACTGGCCTATATGCTCAAGGGGTTTTTATTTCAAAGGTATGCAACGGAACATATGGGTATCCTATTTCGGGTCTCGATACTTGTGATAGAAGTTGGTTTCAGTTGGTTGGCATAGCGCAAAAAAACTTCTGAGACAACTGAAACCTAACCACACTTCCTTACATTTCCGCGATCCGACCAACTATTAATGTGGGATGTTTGTCAAGATAGTCCTTAGCAAGTATTTTTGACCCGCAGTGAACAAACGTCTTTACGCTTCATGATGTTGATTGGATCGGGCGACAGATATCTAAATGTGTTCGCATTTTTCTACCAAGTAAAATCTTTGCTAGGGAGACCACGGTAATTGTCTAAGGACTCGGGGTAGAACGATGGACAACCAGGGTCCCCTTTAAAACCTCTCCTGTGGTACCTCTCTTTTGTCTATAATGTAGTCTGGGTTCATTCGCAATTTTATTAGGTTTTCTTATTTTTTATTCTGATTTCCATTTTCTTCATTGTGTAATTCGGAATTGCCTAAAGTCATTATTAGCATGTAAATTATTAGAATCGGAACTGGAACTATATATCTGAAGTTTGAAAACATCTATTGTGTCAGGATTGGTTGTAGAATGATTAGAATTAAAATTGAGCTGGCTTTGTTTACTAGTTATCGCCAAGGTTACATGTCTACTGTGAATGGAGTAGTCACTTCAATAAACAATATCGTCCGATTACCCATACTCCGAATTCCAATTCCTGTGGATGTACGACAGCTATTTCTTCGGTGAAACTGTACTTTTGATGACATTCTATTCACTAAATGACTTCGAAAGATCAGGGATTTGAAGAGCTGAGCTGAACTTTTGTGGGCTCGTGAACGCCGCGTTTTACGATACTGAACTAAATTACTTGCACTTGCTAATGTAGTGGTACTGGTAAAAGTGCGGCCGAGGTTTTCTGCTGAACCATTGAAATAAGGATGTCGTGGAGCCATAGGCAGTGGGCTCCATTATCAGTTACTGATACACGGCGTATCCCTTCACTACTAAATATCCTCCACATTGCTCTTTGGCTAAACTTACCTTAAAGTGTGGTATAGTACCGCGGCTGACTATGATCACCACTATAATATGAATACGCTATCTGATCTACAGTGGGGGAGACAATATTATTTTGCCTCCACTACTTATTTTACCTAAAGTATGTATGTATATATAATATTCATGTACTTTAAATACGTTGATCTAGAGATGTTGATTGATATTGGAAATAACAAAGAATTTAGATTTATAAAAGCAAATAGGATCGAATAAACAAAAATGTTATTGTTTACCTTTATAAAATTGAAAATAATACCAAAGCTAGATGTGAATGGGTTTTCATGAATCAGAAAAAGTCATAGACTTATTCTTAAAAACAAAAGTGTTGATCATGTTTCAAATACCAGGTAAAATTTTGGTTTGGTTATTGAACCGAAAAGTAGGTAGAAAGTGTTAACTAAATTCATAATAATCTTCCTGAGGTTAAATAGAACCAGTGGAAGAATTATTGACTACCATGTTTTTCATAATAAAAATCTCAGTATTCCAGAAAGTGAATCATGATGAGATGAAATTCAACCTGTTAGGTTTATGAGATTATTTACCACACTAGTATTAATTACTCAATTTTATCTAGTTCAAGTAATGTATATTTAAAATTCTGTGACAAACGTGTAGCAATCGTTTCACTGGTCATTTACTATAGGTACAGTTTGCATAAGATCTGTAATTGTAACGGGTCTGTCAAGAGATTCATCCACTTTGTTAAGTGACATAGCTTCGCACTAATCTTCTTATGATAATTGGGAAACACGTGTATTTAGTAATTTATTATTAAACTTAACAATACAGATTATAAATGAATTTTCAAACTACTTCGGCCAGTAAAATATTTGTTAAACTGACATCGTAGATTGGGATGGATTCATTACGGTTTTTTATGGTTCGGCTTTTCCACATATTTAATACAAATTGATTGAAGTTGAGAATCTGTCTCATTGGAAGCTAACCTAGTAGTCCAATTGTTAGGCGACCACCATGGATGGGTCGCGCGTGGGCACTGCCGAAAAACGCGAATATTAAAGGGATATAGTCATCCAACCCACTATAGTTTTCAACAGTACCTGAAACGAGGCTAATCTGGGACAAATTCCTACATAAGTATTAACTCGTATGGAGTATCCATCTTGTAAAAATGTCTATAAAAACAATTTCGACCTATTTAGGATCGTAATAATCAACATAGAGTATGATGCAATTAATTACATAGAATATCCGTTAACCGCTATTAGTTTAGTAAACGAAATTGTAAAACGAAGCACTAGGAGTGGAATGTTCACAGTAATAATAATAATTCTTCATGTACAAATAAAACCTTCGGTGATCAAGTTGCAGAGGTCAGAAATTCAATAAAATTATCATCGCAACTGGATAGAACGAGGAATGTGTTATCAAGAAAGACATCTACGCATTTATTTAACATTTTCTGTCAACAGAAGATTTATGAAATCACATTTGGGATCTGACGTCACATGGTCTGGTGTACTTCTCAGGAAATTATATCCAGATAGTCAGTTATATAAATTACACGGAATTAGTCTACGCCGTCTGTGGAGTTTACTGTATTATTATGTGGCATCGAGTCGCGGTTGACTATGATCACCACTACAAGAAGACTACGTGCCAATTAACCGATAAGATCCCCCGTAGGCCAAATATCAGAAGGCAGTTGATGGCTGTAGTCGAGATGTATTTATTGGCGATCTCGTAGTATCTAAAGAATACCGAGATTGTGCCAGGCTACAAGTGTGGTTACTGACCGTGACCGAATTCGTGCAGGATCACAATCAACGGAAGAATGTATGTATTTTGGTACAGTTAAACAAGTGAATACGATAAAACAATCCCTGGTACAATTGGTTATAATAATAGTTGTTTCCATTACACCAATCGCGTTCTCTTGATAAAAGTAGGTCACTACAAACTAAAGAACAAAACTAGTTATCTGAGTGAATACGTCGTTAAAACAAGTAAGATCCAGGCCAATGTTCCAGGTAGATATTTTATATATTAGATTATGTAATCAAGCAGGACACTTGTTCCACTTCCAATTCACATAAACGTTAATTTGAGACCACTTACAAGTCTGACGTGCAAATGATTTTATCTTCTCTTCTCCAAGATGGTCGGAGGTTGTTTGTTACTTCATATCTAAGTATAAGAGAGAAGAGCACTTTGCCACATAATCACAAACATTTTAGGGATTTCGTGATATGTCTTCTTTCGTTTTGTAAAACTCAAGAAACTTGAG